TAAACCCCTCTTTTTCCAAGTGCTGTTCAGAGTAAGACCAGTTCTTTTAGAGAGCAAATCTCTGTTAACAAAAAGTTTTCTATTAAAGAAGCACAGGCAGGAGCAAAGAAGCCAGATTAACCTCTTAGTGTTTTTATTTTTTCATGAGTTACATCTTACATCTACCTTTGGGAGTTCAGAAAACGTCTAGATCATTCAGAATGGCATTTACCTATCTGATTTTCAATAGGACTTTAATTTTACACAGAATTATGCTGGTTTTGAAACATCCACTTTCTTTGTCACAGTTGTTCAAGAAGTAATTTTGTGTAGTGAGGAATGAGTCTGATTACGGATACATAATTTCATCTGAAGCTAAAGAATGTAATGAATACAAATTCCAGATAGAGCACAGCACTCCCAGCCTGCCCCTGTATCCCTGTGTCTCAGTTTCTCTGTATTTCCTGCAAGATGACAATGGCCACCTTGTAAAAAGCTCTTTCAGATATGAGGCAGAAATATATACTTCAAGGTCTAGCCTTGAAACTTCTGTGGGATAGCAATGCTCTTCTGAAGTGCCATTTAAAACAGATTGCGTTTCACTACGTGCAAAAATCCCCCATATAGATGCAGCTATATGAGCAAAAAAAAAAGTGCTTTTGCCAGTATAGCCTATTTTATTTGGAAAACGCTTGCAGAAAAAGATGCTTGTGCTAGTAAAACTTGTATTTGCTGGTTATCAAAGGGGAAGCATTTCTAGTGCAAACCAGGCCTCTCATATGTGAAGCTTTTGTTCAGTTCAGCCATCATGACAGTACAGAAAATCCTACCTCAAAGGGATTAATAAGATTACCTAATAGATATTATTAATGGTTTAAGAGCATAGAAGGTGCTTTAGCTAAAGGTGAAGGGCTAGATCCTTCGCTAATGTAAATTGTTCATGGTCCCACTGAGGGCATGGTGGAAACACAGGGCACTGAGGGAGCTTCCTTGTGTCATTGCTGCCTGCTCAGTTTCTAGCTCAGGGCTGCACTGACTGGGCTCTCCAAGAGTGGCTTGTGCATCCTTACCCCTGAGAAAATGTGCATAAGCAAATATCTAGGTTAGAAAGAAAGAAAGAGTTGTATCTAGGAAGACCCTGTTTGAGCAGGGACGTGGGATCAGATGACCCCACGGGTGGTCCCTTCCAACCTGACCTGTTCCATGATTCTGCAGCAGTTGGATGTCCCAGGAACATGCCAATTTACACTGCCTGAGGATGTCAGTTTATACTGTTTTCATTATACTAGTAGCTTTTTATAGGCATAAGATTCCAGTCATGAGACTTGATGATTCTATAGAAAATGCCCTCCGACGCTGTACTTTCTCACAGCAGGGCTCCCTGGCTAATCGTGTGCTTGCCCATCAAGCACAAATCCCAGCCATTTCCTTCCAAGTTTTCTCCTGCATTTAATGTATGGAAAAGCATGACCCTGAATCAGATGAATAGCAGCCGGTTTGAGAAGGTGTGTGTGAAAATGTATCCTCACGCAGATGAGCTCAGAACAAATAGAATAGAGAGGAGGAGGGGAAGAGAGCAGAGTGGGGGGAGTGTGAAGCTACCCTTTCCATGATAGTTCAGCCACTATGTGTAAGCAACAAGTTTATGCCCAAGGGAAAGAAGTGAAAGCCGAGGAAATCTTAAAATTAACAGAGCTTTATGGCTCAATCAATAGGCCATGCTCCCTGAGCAAGATTAGAAATCAGATGGCACATTTCTTTCTGTTAACCCTGTTTGCTCTCGCCGAAGGCTCTTCTGCCTGAAAGCAGCTGAGGTTTGATTAAGTTCTTCTCTAGGAGGAAGCCAGAGAAAGTCCATGTGTGAGAACTGCCTCCAGAATGCTGTGTTGGACACACTTTAAATAACAATAGAGGTTATTAGAGTATTAGTTTGTTAGTAATTGTGAGAGAAGATAAGTCTTCCCAATATTTGAATATGCAAAATGGCTTTGGCTAACTGAGAAAGAGGGAGGAAAAAATCAAAAGCCAAAACATGCCACTACAGTGAGTAACAGGGATAATTAAAAATTCCCATATGTAAAAAAGAAAACCTCTACCTTGTTTTACTGCTGGAAATACTTTCCCAGATTTGTTACCCCCATCAAACTCATGATATTTTCCCTCTTTGGCATTTTCACTGGGGCAATGAAATAGTTTTTTCCAAGGGGAGACGGACCGTGTTTACACCTATTTCTTGTTTGACAGTGACCTCTATGAACCAGTCATCACTGCTCTGCCTGTTGTTTTCTTGTTAGCTCTTTGCTGTCAAATTAATTACTGTGAAGTACTAAGCTTGTTGCATTCACGTGCTCTTATTAGCTCACAGGATGTCAGAGTGATTGGATTTTTAGCATTATTTCTTTTTTTACATTCCAGGCTTTCCATTCAAAACCTGTTACTGGCAGGGAGGAAATACTGTACCTAATTCTCATCAGGGTAGCTCCAGTGATGCTGAGGATTTACAAAGCTGTATATGCAACTAGGCTTTGTTTATATTAAATCCAACATGAACAATTAGATTGGGATTGCAATGTGACTTTGAAGCACAACATGGCATGCCTTTCTTTTGCAGTATAGAACAAGAAAGAAAATATTTATGATGAGAATAGCATTCGTCCCCTCCATTCTTAAATCACAGTAATGAGCTGATCCTCCACTTGACCCTCTTCACACTCCTGAGTTGCTTGTATTAGTGACAGCTAACAGCGCTCATGTGAGTGCAGTCCAGGGATCTATAAGAAGTTTTATTCTTTTCTTCTTCTACAAAATTAAACGAGCAGAAGGGACTTCTTTGCTGTCATGCTTGAAATTTGTGGGTCCTGCATCTGCCCCTTGAAAAGCACCATCTGGCTCGGTGAAAAAGATGAAGGTCTTGAGAGTTGTCTTCATTCCTGAAGGTAGATTTCTCTTTGTCATTAAAAAAAAAAAAAAAAAAAAAAAAAAAGGGGGACTAAGTAGATGGGATTAGAAGGGCCGGTAGCCCCGCTGCCCGGGCAGGAGGCTCAGCCCCAGGTGCTCCTTCGCCCAGCGCAGAGCTCCGGCTCCAGCGCGCACCGCCCGCTGCCCAGCCCCAGCCCCTCGCCTCTGCGGCACCTGACAGCCCGGCCCGCGGAAACCTCCCAACCCCCCACGGCCGGGTCCTCCCGTGCGTCGGAGGGTTCGCCCGGGATGCCGGCTGTCCCCGTCCCGCTGTCCCCGTCCCGCTGTCCCGGTGACCCCGCCCGGCCCCGCCGCCGCTTCCCCGCGCGGCCCAGAGGGGGCGCCCTCGGCCCAGGCTTCCCCGGTGGCGGCGGCGCGCGCGGGCCCCGCGCAGGTGAGCGCGGCCCCGAGGGGGGCCCGGCCCGGGGTGGGGGAGCGGAGCGGCCGCGGTGACACCTCGCCCGTGACACCTCGCCCGTGACACCTCGCCCGTGATGCCTCGGCGCTGCCGCGGCCGCCGATGTGCGCTGGGCTTCTCTCCTCGCCCCCCGTCCCTGGCCGCTCGCCCCCGGGCAGGGCGTCTGGCGGGAGCCGAGTGGGAATCTCTCCGGACCCCTGCGAGGGCTGTCAGAGCCATCCATCCCCTTTGCCTCGGTGCCCGCTCCCCCCCGCCCCCGCCGAAGCCCGGCGCTGCCCCGCGAAGGCGCGCAGGAAATCCCGCTCCCCGGGCGCGGGCAGGGCGGGCGCTGCTGCCGGCTCCGCGCCACGGCTCCGGGAGCGCGGCGGTCCCGTTATTTCCCCTCCCGGCTCCCCTCGGCCGCCGCCCCGGTCCCCCTCCCCCTGCTGCCTCCGACAGGCTCCGCGTCCCTCCTGCCCCACGGAAAACACACAGAATCCCCGGCACCCGCCCCGGCTACCCGGCCCATTCAAACAAACAAACAGAAACCCGCCCCGTCGCAAAGCCAACCGACGGTAAACTTTCTAATGACTTCTTCTTTCAAGTGCTTAAAAGGCAAGGAGCACCGGGGGAGGGGAAGAAGGGGGCATCCATCTCCCACCCGGGGCGGGAGGGGGGGCAAAGCTGCCGCCGCTCGGGGTCTGTCCGTCCGTCCGTCCGTCCTGCCGGACGACGGGACAGGGAAGCGAGCCGGTGTGCGGTGGGTGTGTTTGCAGGAACAGGGAGGGAGGGAGGGGACGGGGGGAGTTAAAGAAACAGCATAGTTAATATTTCCACATCAGGAAGTTACTGTAATAGCCCAGGGGGCAAAAGACTTAACTTAATCTCCTAAATAGTGAGGAGCCCATGGCGTCTCTGTTATAGGTTGGAGTTCCCACGTGGTTTTAACTCCTGTATAAAAGTTTCAGTAGAAAGTGCCACAATGTCGTGATTTTGCAGGGGGGAAAAATTAGCAGGAGGAGATCAGAGAAGATAAACGAGGAGCAAGCAGCTTCCCCGAGACCTTTTACTGCGGATCCGAGAGGGAACATCAGACGCGTAAAAAAAGAAAAACAAAAAAACAAAAACAAAAACCAAAAAGCCAAACAAAACAAAAAACCCCAAACAAAACAAAACACAGCGTTCAAGCCAGCACAAGGCGAGCGAAAGATCAAAAAGACGCAGAGAGGGAGACAGATTAACTGGAGCAGCAGCAGCAGCAACAACAACAAAAATCACACTTAAAATAATAATAACAATAATAATAATAAAACCCAAACCACCAACAAGGGAGATATTGTTTAAAAGAGCAAGCGAGGGAGCGAGCCGAAGAGCTGGTCTGACCGAGTGGATCCGTGCAGCTTCTCCTGGGATCGCCGGGATCGCGCCGCTTCCCCGCTCCGCTCCGCGCCGCGCAGCGTGCGCTGCCCTGCCCGCGGCGGGGGTCCCCGGGCTCCGCCACCGCATCCGCGCCGGACTCCGGACCCTCCGCGCTGCTTCGAAAATAAAAGCATCTCGCTAATAATAAGCGGGACGGTGGGGGGAGAAGACTCGCAACAGTGGAGCTGCCAGCCGCGCACCCCCTGGCCGCCGCCCCCTGCTCCCTCCCCAGCTATGCTCCGGGTCAACTTTGATGGCACGTTGAGAAGCAGCGGGCGCTGAAGGGGGACAACCGAGCGGCGCGGAGCCGACCTGCTCAGAGACCTGCACCCACGGATTGTCTTGCGGGGGCGGAGTGGGCGGGGGGGTACAAGTGGCATTTCTCCCCCCCTCCTTCCAGGCTATAAATTGGATTGTATATAAATCTGCTTCGTTTATCTCCCTGACCCCCCTCAATGACGCTGGACTAGAGAGCTCCTCTCCGCGGCCCGCCCGGACCTGCCGAAGCGAGCGATGGACCACGAGCGGCTGCGCCCGGGGATGCCCCTCTGAAGCGACGCGGGGCACCGGGGCAGAGCGGCGCCGCCTCTCCCCTGCTCCCCGGATCCCCTCGCACCTCCGGCTCGCTCCCCGCTCCCCCTCCCTCCTCCCCGGGCTCCGCAGCCACCCCCTCACCTGCTGCCGTCCCCCTCCCCCGTGGAGCCGGGCTCTCTCCGTGCACGCCAAGCCTGTTCCCCCCCCCCCGCCGCCAAGTTCGCCCTCGGTGCCTGCGCGTGCAGCCTCCCCCTCCGCCTCCCCGGCGGCACACGCCGCTTCCCCGGGCGCCCCCTCCCTCCGCCGCGGCTCCCCCCCTGCGCGGAGCGGTTGCGGCCCCCCAGCTTGGCTGCCACCGCCCCCTCCGCGCCGCGGAGCGCTCGGAGCGGCGCTGCCTGCAGACGGGCTCCCTGCGGCGCTCCGGGGCGGCCCCCAGCTCGGCCCCCCGCTCCTCCGCCATGGACGGGGCGGCTCGCCGGGGGGTGCTGGCCGCGCTGCTGGCCTGCGGGCTGCTCCTGCTGGGCGCCGCGGCCACCCCGACCCCGCCGGCCCCCGCCGGCGGCTCCCCGCAGGACACATGCACCTCCTGCGGCTTCCGGCGGCCCGAGGAGCCGGGCAAGGTGGACGGGGATTTCCTGGAGGCGGTGAAGAGGCACATCCTGAGCCGGCTGCAGATGCGGGACCGGCCCAACATCACGCACGCCGTGCCCAAGGCGGCCATGGTCACGGCGCTGCGCAAGCTGCACGCCGGCAAGGTGCGGGAGGACGGCCGCGTGGAGATCCCCAGCCTGGACGGGCAGGCGAGCGCCGGGCCCCCGGCCCACGACCCGGTCTCCGAGATCATCAGCTTCGCCGAGACAGGTGGGCGCCGCCCGGCCGCGCACCCGCGCCCCCCTGCCCTGCCGCGTTCTCCGCCTGTCCTGCCTCGCCCCGTCTGTCATTCCCCCTGCTCGACCCCTGTCAGTCCCCCTGCTTGACCTCTGTCACTCTTCCCTCTCGCCCTGCCTGTCCTCCTGCCCACCTTCTCTTTCCGCCTGCCTGACCCCTGGCAGTTCCCCGGCTGCCCTTGCCTGGCCCCCTGTGCACCCTGCCTGTCCTTCTGCCTGGTACAGGCACCTGGCAGCCCAGCTCACCCGCTTGCCCTCCGCCTCATTCGCTCTCCCCTCTGCCCCGCACCGTCTTGCCCTGGCCCTGCCCGCGCCTTCCTGTCCTCCCTGCTTGTGCCCCTGTGCCCAGGATTCTCCCCGGGTTGTGCCTTGCAACTCCCCTCTCTTGTCCCTCCATCCCTCCGCAGCCTCTGTGCCCCCGGCTCTCCTCCGGCCGTCCTTCCAGCTGTACTGGGGCTTGTCGCCGTCCCTGCGTGTCCCACTGTCCCTCCTCTGCCTGTCCCGCTCCGTCTCTTGCATCCCTTGCATCGTCTGTCTGCCCTGCACATTCATCTGGTTCACTGCCTGCAACTGTCTGTTGAGGCTTGCATTTGCCCATCCTCTCTTTCCATTTGTTTCCCATTTATTTAGCTTTCATTTGCAGTATTGGCCTTATCTGTTGTCCACTGCATGCAGTGTCCTACCAAGTGTGTTTGTTTCCTCTCTGTCTGTCAGTCCGTTTACTAACTGCCCTCCATCCCCACAGTACCAGCCATCTCAGTCCAGCCATTGCAGTTATGTGTCACCGAATCCCTTCAGCACAGCTTTCCAGTAGTTTAACCACTGTCCCTGTGAACTTTGCACATCTGGCTGGAACACCATCACTCTGCAAATTACCTCTCTCCTGTCTATCTGCCCATCTTTCCTTTCCTTCATCGCTCTATCGCTCAGTTCATTTTTTTCTCTCTATCTTCTTGTGGCATCTATATATCATTTGTCCACAAAATAAATCTCTTTCTATCCTGTATGCTGCCCACTCATCTTCTTTATCTACCCTCCCACTTACCAAAGGCATATACATTTACAGTATCTATGGGATCTGTTGCATTATACATATGCTTGTTATATTCACATACAAAATTTATGAGCGCACACAATCTCACACAACACAAGTGATGTGGATCGGTGCAGCAGCACCGTACTGTTCTTTTTCTGTCACTGTCGCCACAGTTTACGAAAAAGCCCTGTATTTACTAACATGAGAAAGGTTTTCTTAGTGTACATTTTGGGGGTTATTATTTTTTAATAGGATGTTGTTGGGAGATCGGGGGTGGGCTTGTACTTTCATTTGGTATTCAGTCAGTCGTTGTCTTTTGTAACACCTCCAAAATTGACTTTATGTAAAATGTAGACAAACACAGTGAAAATTTTTGTCACTGAACTATTACAAGGTACTGAATGGGCTCTGGAGGCACATTTGAAAGGCATCTAGGGTAACAAATGAAGACACCGACTACGCAAAAAATCCCATTCAGAGATTGACAAAAATGCTAAAGATTCTTAGGGAAGGAAAAGGCAGGAAAAAAAAAATCTACATTTAGCTTTGTACAGACGGAAGCAAAATCGATAAGGGCAGATGAGAAAATGCCTTTCTAGCAATAATTTTAAATAGCAATTGGGATGCTTTGATTCAGGGACCAGAATTACGGTCTCCGCCATAAAGGCCGGCACATTTGTCACCTACGCCAAATTTAGTTAGGACTTACAGTACAAAAATTGCAGGAAGGCTGCTGGTATTTCTGAAATATTTCATGCAGCAGGCTCTTCTGTTTACAAATAAGGGGTTATGTCAGACATTTGGTGACATTTGGTTTTCTGTGGCAATTTCTATCCTTTAATTCTGGTGTTGCTGAAAAGCGTATTGAGAACAGCCAATAACGGCGTTACAGCGGGAACAACCGCTTCATTGCCTTGCTCGCATGGGAGTTCATCATTTCGGGGAGAAAAGGCAGAGATTGAAATGATTAATAATAGCAGATATACTACCAGACTAAGTGGGGGTTAGCTTGATCTGTTGGACAAGCAGGCACATTACTGAAATATTTTCCGTTCTGTCTTGTGAGTCCTCTCCTTTAAACCGCAACGAGAATATGTGCAAATCGAAACAAAATCCCTGGTTTGGCAGTGGTGTTTTAGTGGTTATTGAAAGAGCTCTCCCCATGAGAATTGGCAGGTAGCTGAAAGTTAAAACTATTCTTAAACTGATGAGATAGCAGAGTCCTAGTCCTAGTGCCGGTCTTTTTCAAGGTGCTGCTGTAGCATCTTTTAATCTGGCTTTCTGGAAAAAACATATTCTGGAAAGCTCTTATTGATGTCTGTGGATCTGACACATCCGACTACAGCCTGATGTTGAAGGTTGCTGTGGGAAGTCCCCTTTTCAATTAATTCTGATTGCAAATTGGGGATATCTGATGCAGTGAATGCCTTCTGACTGGCACAGCTCCGTCGCCGTTCGCTCGATCTGCTGTGCTCTAGCGTTGTCCCTGCATCCAGAAAAGCACATAAGCTAACATTTCCTTTTTGACTTAATCTTGCTGATCTCTCCTTATCTTGCAGACGATCTGGCCTCATCTAGAGTCCGCCTCTATTTCTTCATCTCGAATGAAGGGAACCAGAACTTGTTTGTCGTTCAAGCCAGCCTGTGGCTTTACTTGAAGCTGCTTCCATATGTCTTAGAGAAAGGCAGCAGGCGAAAAGTAAGAGTCAAAGTCTATTTCCAAGACCCGGACACTAGCAACAAGTGGAATGTGGTTGAAAAGAAAGTCGATCTCAAAAGAAGTGGTTGGCACACTTTTCCCATGACAGAGGCGATCCAGGCTCTGTTTGAGAGAGGAGAAAGGAGACTGAACTTGGATGTTCAATGTGAGGGCTGTGAAGAGTATTCAGTGCTGCCAATTTATGTGGACCCCGGGGAGGAATCCCACCGGCCTTTTTTAGTGGTGCAAGCCCGCCTCGCCGATAACAAACACAGGATCCGGAAAAGAGGCCTGGAGTGCGATGGCAGGACCAATCTATGTTGCAGGCAACAGTTTTACATTGACTTTAGACTCATTGGGTGGAATGACTGGATCATAGCACCATCAGGTTACTATGGGAATTACTGTGAAGGGAGCTGCCCGGCCTACTTGGCCGGTGTCCCGGGGTCGGCTTCCTCCTTTCACACCGCTGTCGTGAATCAGTACCGAATGCGGGGGCTGAACCCGGGCACCGTGAACTCCTGTTGCATTCCAACCAAACTTAGCACAATGTCAATGCTGTACTTTGATGATGAATACAACATTGTGAAAAGGGACGTTCCCAATATGATTGTGGAAGAATGTGGTTGTGCTTGATTTAAGGTGTGTTTTGGGGGGGGAGAGAGACAGAGGGAGAGAGAGAGAGAAACATTCCCGTACAAGATGGTGTTGGAGGAAGTTTCACTGTGTATCCAGGCATCAGTGTTGGAAAGTCACTGTGGAAAAGTTTGACGACAAAAAAAAAAAAAAAGAAAAAAATAATCATTTCACTTTGGTGTCAGGACAGTGGCAGTTTGTGGATCATGGACACTTATATATTCTATCACTTATAAGTTAATGCTATGAAATATCTTAAAGACACACACACACACACACACACACACACACGAAATGTGGGCACGCACACAAACACGCGCTCATACACACAGACACAGACACACACACACACACACACGAGGCAGCTCAGAAAAGGGACATGAGCACAGAAAGTCAGTGACCAGTGACGACGGACCTAAATGCCTGCCAGTACGAGTGAACGGCTGAGCAGCTGTTTCCCCGCCTGCCGGCAAAGCCAGACCGAAATGAGCTCCCTTTGCTCAGGCAAAAGCACAGACTGTGAGAACACAACGTATTCTTGCACGCAGGTGTCAAAATGACCAAACTTAGAAAATTGAAAAAAACAAAAAAGAAATAAAAAAAGTCGACTGTCACCTCTTAGGTCTAACAGGAAGCTGTAGGACACCTGCCTTGGGAGGCAGTCACTTCCTCTTAATTTAAATTTATCTAAACATAAACATCACAGATACCCGCTTCTTCCTACAGCACTTCCAGCAAGGAATCTTGTGGTTCTGTCGGGGAGAGAGAGAGAGAAAAGGGGACAGACATGTGAGAACTGCTGTATTTCTAACACCTGGCCGTTGTGGAGTCACTAGCTGGGCTGGTGTGATCCGATGCTTTCACTGCCCACTAACATCCCATGGTTGGCTACACCTGCCGTGTCTTGGAAAAGGGAATCGATACCATATCTGGACTGTGTTGACTGTTGGCATCTCTCACTGTTCGAAGAGCAAAAAGTCAAAAGTTGCAATCTGTGTTCTTCAGTGGGGGACTCGGCAGGGCTGCGTCACGTGGGGACGAGCAAACAAGCAGTGGCCACCACGGCTAAACCAATGAACCCTAAAGAGGAGTGACAGCGACAGAGAGGAGACGTTCTGGGAAATGCAGTGTGTTTAATAACAGGCGAGGAACATTTTTACAAGTCTTGGAAAGGAGGAGAGAGGAGAGTGCTTTCAATTTCCTTACCAGGAGGTGTCAAGGATGGCCATAAAGATCAGAAAATAATGATACAGCATAGCACTTGCAAACTGCTTGAATGCACGTATAATAGCACTTGCAAATTTCAATGCCTTGAAAAGTGGTACTTGATAGTGCACTTATCTTTGCTCACTATCTAGGTAAACAGGTGCCGCATGAGCTATGCAATTTAAAGTGTTGACCCATACTAGACAAAACTGGACTTATGATATGACTTTTTTATATTTTTTTATACTTGAAATTAAATCTTTTGCTTCTTTTTTAAAGCGAATGATTGCTTTTAATGTTTGCACTGATTTAGTTGCATGATTAGTCAAAAACTGCCATTTGAAAAAAAATGTTATTTTTATAGCAGCAAAAAATGAATACAGTTAAATGTATTATACATAAATTTTGGAACCAAAGAGGCCAACATATTAGTTATAATTTTTATGAGATGGCAAAGCCATCATATATCATGTAGTCATACTGAGCAATCCCTCACGAGGCCTACCAATTGTTTCAGGGTACAAAATGGATTCTGTTTGTTCTATTCAGTGTCTTTTCTATACCATACGCACATGGAATGTAGAGTGAAAAAAAAAAGTGACTATTGTAGAATACATTACAATATGTGCATCCTTTAAATCCAGTTTTTATGTTTATTTAATAAAGTTCCTTTTAGGTTCTGTTCCATAATAATTTAAACCAAACAATTTTCACTTAGATTTGCTGTTGAAGTATTTTACATTTGTGTACAGTTTAAATAAATAAAAAAGATTGAAAACTGGATGTGCTTTTTTTTTTTTTTTTCCTTTTTCAGTGTGTAACATCTGGAGGAACCGCTTACTTTCGGGACTGAATAGGCTGCAGACGGTGAACTGTCGCATTAGACCGTAGTCATATTAGTCATTGCAGAAAGCCTTGTCTGAGAGCTCAGCTGCGATCCTAAAAATGTTACACTCCGGTTTTATTGCTGTCTATACATGTAAGCATCTGCTTCTTTCTCTCTGCAGCAGTGCAGGGGCTCTGGGTGCAGGAACGGTGCTGTTCCGCATACCTGCAGGTCATTTACAGCAAGTTCCTGGTTCACCTGCTGTGTAAGAATGTAACTTCTTCTCTGGGTCACTCCCTGACTGCTTAGAAGAAGTAAAAAAAGTTATGTGGAAAGCACTTCCAGGAAAAAAAGACCAATAGTAAGTTTGATTCCCCCCCCCCCCCAAAACTAGCTGACACTAAGAAAAGGGTTTTTTTTCTTTTTAGTAAAATATCTCCCTTTGACTAACAAGCCCTCAAAAATGTTGAGAAATAATCAAGTACTCAGCTGCACATATATCCAGATATTGATTTAATTGATCTTCACAGATAAATTCTTCCTCCTGGAGACCTGAGCAAATGCCAGCTGAAGCTGACAGAAGGACCTCTGTTGACTTAGCAAATGTTAGCTCTGACCCTGAAACCTGGAAAGTGTTGAAGAAGCAAGATCATGCAGCTAAGGATGGGTTCTAGTTACAATTCACATTCAGGTGTAGCTGTGCCCAGCTCTCCTCACAGGAGAGGGGTTAAACACAGGCCTGGGGTTAAACGGGAGACCTGGAAGAATAATTTGCTGTGACTGTGTCAACAATCTGCTTCTCAGAACTTTGTCCTCCAGATCAAATTTTTGGAATATCTCACAGCTTTCTCACCACCTCAAGCTGCACATTGATTGTTAAAGCCACTAACCACTCACTGTTGCTGCTCCACCTCTCATCAGCCTTCTCTCTGGTTTTCATTCAGCTGTGCTACTGATGAGTTCAATAAACTCCCCTTGAAATCAGTGGCCAATACCCATCCCTTCACTCTGAAGGCATGTTTGCCCTAATATGACACTTATTAGAAATAATACTGGGCAGCCCTTTAGAAAATGAGCTATATTAAGCAATCTTGCCCATTGAAATGCAGGGCCCTGGAGACTGGCTCCAGTTAGGTTTCGTTCTTAATTGAAAGTGTTTATTTCCTGGGGTCAAAGCCAAACCCTGCATTGGACATTGGGACTCCTGTGATCAGGAGGAGACCAGGGTGCCTCGGTGAGGAATTTGAACCTGCAGCCCTGGGGAACAGGGAACTGCTGGCAGCCAGGATGCTTTGAGCTTGGGCTGGCCGGGAGCGAGGGGCAGGAACAAGCTGTGCTCTGCATCCTGCTGCAAACCCACAAGCAAGCTTGGGATCCTGAACTCTTTCACAGAGGCCATCAAAAAGCACCCCTTTTCTTGGTAAAAGCCTTTCCCAGTTTTCTTCCCCGTCCCTGCCTTCTCTGCTCCTCAGTTTTTAGCTAGAGTCATGGTGTTTATGGGACAGAAACAGAAATGCAAGGAAAAGCATGAATATCAGGATAGTGTGAGGGGCATCATCTGGGAGTGGGAAGAGCTGGATCATAGTCCAGGCTCCCAGGCCTTTTTATTTTGTTTGAAAGACATTGTAGAAATTGATGTGAACTGAACATGCTTGGAGTTTTCTGCAGCATGGAGTCACTTGCTGCTCTGGGCATTCTACAAACAGTGAGGTGTTCTTTATCCTGGTGCTGACAGCAAACTGTCACACAGATTTCTAAGGCTAAAATGAAATAAAATAGTCTTCAATTTTGTGGGACCAATCTGAGGCAGTTTGGGCTTGATTTTTGAGAGATGTGACAAAGCTACTGCTCTTGCCAGCTTTTTACAGGGGAGTGCAGGAATTCCGCTTTGTGCAGCTTCCACCTCCTGCATTTTTTGAAATCAGGAAAAATGAAAAATGAGATGCCCAGGCCTGATGGCTGCTTTTCAAAAATTTGGGGGTTTCCCCATCTGTCATTCCCATCCTTATAAAACTGAGCATCCAGTTTCATTGCTTTATGCCAGGTTAGGTACTCTACCTAAAAAAACAGCTGGGTCACATCCATACCCCCCACCCAAAGGTGACTTGGTGACTCTCTCTTGTTTTTGATAGGCTTTGAACTCGAATCTGTGAATACTAAATCAGTGTCCCCTATCATGTGACAGAATTAATCTCTGGAGCTGGAGAATCTTCACCCTTTAAAATATTCTAGCACAGGCAAAACCCCATCCCGGACCTCCCGCTGTGGTTAATGAGGATGGTGTGAACAGGGTGACTGTCACGATGTGATGCAACAGAGCACTTGTCGGATTAACTCTGCATACATCACATATTTCCACACGCAATAGACACCTGCTCCAAAACTGCCAGCTCTCACCTTCTTTGCTTTGTCACTTGTGAGAAATGAACTCAGCAGCTGAAAATTAGTTACTGCACTTGCCCTGCCATCGGAGAAGAGGGAAACCCCTCACTGAACACATCCTTCACAAGGATAATTTTTGTATGGAGTGGTTTCTACAGGGAAGGGTGGGAGAACATTTTGCAAAATGCATCAGAAATACAAATTTCTGTCTAAGAGGAGGGTCTGTTTCAGTTAATGCTGATGGCAGTCTACAGTAACTCCCCTAAAGTCCGCAGATTTAATTCAGGCTAGCTACCATATGAGTAAAGATACACATAAATCCGGTTTTCTGGAATTCCTGACTGGGCCCAGCTCATTCTCAGTTCTCAGTATTTATTAAAAAAGTATTTTTTCCTTTAGAATTATCAGCTAAAAGTTTTAGCAAAACCCACACATACTGGGTGACAGATCAGAACAGGAGTAGAAGACATCTAACTTTGTCATGAATCTCCCTACATACACTGGAATTTGGCCAGGAATTAGCAATCTGCATCAGTACAAAACGCCCCAGTAGCTTTCATTTGCTTGCCCAGTCAGTAACCTTGAACTAAAAGCTGGATTTACGTGCCTGCTTGTAACAGAAGGGGCCAATTTTATTTGGGTAACTTCATTGATTTCAAGGGAATTGTTTCTGATTTGTACTAGAATAAGTGGGAGCAGATTTAGGTTCTTTAATGTTCTTCCAGTTTAGCTCTTGGAATAACTTATATTTCATTATTATGTGTTTATGTAATTAGTGCAATTATATCAAATTATATAATTGGTACAATTACTTGGACTCATGTAACCACTGCATATAGCATTCCATGTTTTAAAATCTTTTACTCTGAAAAAAAAAAAAAAAGCAGTCAATATTACATGAGAATCTTAATTTGTTTTTAAATTCCAGTATCAAATTTAGGGCCTGACCACATGCAAGGAACTTCTGGTTCACATCAGTGGAATCTCTGAGCAGGAAGCTTGCAGCCTTCACCATAGATATTGCATTTTTAATCTGATTTGGCCAATTCTATTCAACAGAGGCCCTCCTGGAATGTGTGCAGCTCTCACCAACTTTCCTTGTACAAAACAGAGACGTCAAGCTTTTACACACACACATACCCCATATGACCTGAGAG